TAATCTATTCCATCTTTGCTATCCAACAGGATATTGATGTTTTGTTCTGACAACTGGGATAATCAGTGGAAAGACTTTAATTGTGGCTAAAACAATGGGGAGGGTGTGTGAACCTGTGGGAGGATGTAGAGGGGCTTAAGGTCATCTTTTATAATCTAAACAACAACAGTCATCTGCCCTTCTGGTCACTCAGCATTATGGGATGAAGTCCGCCCTTACTCCCACTTGCACATACGCACAAGCTGTTGGCGAATGCCAGGGGTGTTGCTCATATTGATGCCTTTGTGTAGTGTGCATTTCCTAGGAAGCGGTCATCCATCAGGTCATGTGAGTCTTTGTCCAACGCTATGGTTTTTCAGTATTCCTCCTGATTCACCCCTGATTCGCAGTTGGTCTGAAACCTGACAGGAATCCATTCTTATTGTGACAGTGTTTCAGTAAGCATTGTTGTTTAATTCATTTTAATTCATAAAATAGGTCTTTGAATTCAATATAGTTATTGCGGGTATTTGATTTTCTTTAGTCCAGTCTGCACATGCCAACATACAGTATACTCCTGCTAGAAGTGATGAACACAGTCCAGTTTTTAGCTCTCCCAGCTATTTAAAGCAGTGTAATTCAGAAATATCTTTACTGAGCGCAGGCATACCAAAGGAAAAAAAGATTATTTTTAGCCGATAACCGCTTTGATCTCCATAGGAAAATATGTTTTTATATCTCGCAGGAAAGCTGAACGACCTGCTTGTTAATTGAGTTCATAATTCTCTAGTCGCATTGCCAGAAGAAGGAGCCCTCTGAGAGGACTATTTCCTGTTTCTGTTGTCTATTGCATGTATCTTTGTTAAGCATCTGGCAGCTCAGGAAAGAAAACATTAAGATGTGTAACTGTTTCTTTTTTCTTTTTTTTTTTTAAAGATGTCAGGTATTTAAATGCGAAGCTCTTTAACTGTTAGACATAGATAATTATTTATAACAGTAGTTTAAAAAAAGCGAATAACAGTAACTCTAAAAACTGAGTGATAAGACATGACGTTATGGTGTTTCAGTCTTTTGAGTGAATGCCATATCAAAATGTACAATAGGAAAATGTTTTGCAGTTATGAAAGCGATGGGAAAATCTTGGCTTTTTGAAGTATTTGGACAGTATCGATAAAGAATAACAAATCACACACGACACTGACATACAATCATATTAATAGTTTAAATAAATGGGGGGGAAAATAGATCATCCTGACGTTAGCCAAACTTTTAAATCCATAATAATCAATATTATTGGATTTTAATATTATCAGAAGTTCCAGTTATTAGAACTTCCTCAGAGATGGTCAGGAGGTATTCTGCATCTCCAATACTCAAGACTCTATATGATAATGTCTGTGTAATTTGAGGAGAAAAAAGGCAGAAAAGCATAAATTATTTATTTATTCATTGGATTATGGAGCCTGTGTGTATCTGTTCTCCAATTTCAATAACATGTCAGTTTATTGGCTCTTTAATTAGCAAGTGTTGCCAGAGATTTCATTAAGTTTTGACTTTGGTATATAAGTGGAGGATTTCCTTGCCCTTATGTTTCGGTGAAATATTGTATATTTGGAGCCAACGTATCAAAAATAATGCCACAAAAAGAAACGATGGTGTAAATGAGGCGGATGTTTTGTTTGGG